GTCTGCGTGTGTGAGCTCGTATCTATGCTTGAATGCATGTTTTTATGTACGTGTGTGTGTGTGTGTGTGTGTATATATGTGGATACAAGGTCTTCCACTATCGAACCAATTTCATTCTGACGCCAAACTAAGAAGTGGATCAAAACTCGGCGCAGATTTTTGAACCCAGAGAAGGTTTAAGCCAAATGAATGCATATCTATATTCACAAACACACAGACACACACACATAGAGAGGTTAAAAAAATATATCAACAATCATGCTTCAATGGAGAAGTCTCCGTTACCCAAGATAGGGAGAAAAGCTATGAAGCTGCTCCGCGTCCCTGAGATTTGGCCCAAACCTCGGGCCCTGATCAAAACTGACCTATTCTGGAAATGGGTTGACCTCGTTGTCGCAACTTGGTCCTGTTGTCAGGGCGACTATGTAGAACGCACCTAGTCGGTAGTAGTCTGCCATAGTAGTTGCCATGATTCCCAGCATCTGACAGTGGACTAGATACATTCTCAAACGTTTCGCCGGCATCATCAGTCACTTTTGCCATTCTTACCACCGAGCTACGAATTCGTCAAAGAGACAAGTGAAGCCAATCCCTCGACAAACGTTCTGCCGAAAACGGTGACACTATGACTCCTCTTTCTGTCCTGACCTATCTATACATTCTTTACCCTCTAATCCTACTGCCGCCACATCACAACTTCTCACTTGTTTACATTTCATTCGTCAAAATGTATGCCCTTTTGTAACAAACCGAGTGTGGCCTCATCACATTTTCTATTCACCCCGAACTCCTCTCTTTCGATCGGCTGATCCCATTCGGGCCACAAATCTGGATCCCTTCATTCTCTCGTCGATCTGTTCCTTATCTTTCCGGTTGACCGATTTCACTCGGTTCCAGTCCCAGCGTGTATTTCACTCCAGGTGCTATTTCTTAAGGCCCTAGAATCACATGCATTGCCGCCTCAGCGAGCGGAGCGGCCAGACTGTGATTGCAATGCTTGAAGATATCAGGCCTTCCCTTCTTGGCTCGTCTGCTTGATTAAACCCATGCTATTTGAGCAAACTGTGGACGCCTATCTCCGGTCGCATGTGGCGTCTCAAGTGGATTTTCGGTACATTTTGGCCATAAAGCCGAATTTCCGTGACGGTTTGCTCATCCGTCTGCCCCGCCACCTGACTGCCAGGCCCCGAAAGTTGTACTGGTTCATTCGAAATGGATATCACCCACTGACAACGTCTTCGCCTTATTGCCGAAAACCCCTTCCCGCCACTTACTTAATCGCGATCCCTTTTCCTCCTGTTAGCGGTAGATCCTTAATCCAGGCGTCTGCTTTTCACTGCCTTGCTTGCTCAGTTGTCTCGAGCTGTACCTTCTGCCTGAGGCGGGCTTAGGAAGTAGAGTCCTCGTTTTCCCAGTTCCGCCAGGCTAATTGGCTTCTGGAGAGTCGTCTACCTCTCTTCTGCTCTATCTCTACCAGTTCCACCATCTTCACCAACCTTATTCCATTGACCCCTCTTCACCGACTTTGCCGTTTGCCCATCTACACCACATTCCACTTCTCCGCCATATCCTCGTTCCTTCTCCACCACCTCCATCACGTCTTTAATAGACTTTAATTCCCCTAAATTCACAGTCAGCACGGCATTCAACGTTTCAATCATCTCGCTATTACACCGCATTCCCTCCACACTATTACTTGTCTCTTGAATTATTCCACACCTACAATGCAAATGACATCTCCACTATGGCATATCAGTTTATAAAATCTTAGTCATTCCAGATCGCTTGAGGTGATGTATGGTTTGGTGGGTCTGTTTTCCTACAATGA